TATAATAATTTCTTAAAGATACAATGGTAAACTCAGGGTTATTTATTTTTTCATCATTCATTCAGCTACCGTTTATTAGCTGTTGTTTTTCAGACTCAGTGTTACGTATTAGAAGAAAGAAGAATTAAACCTAGTACTTACTTTTGTTATGAGATCCTCCTTCAGTTTCTTAGAGTTTTATTAGCATGTAAAGAAATACTTACAATACAGTAGATGAGAGCTGTTGGCATCACAATGGGGATAGCCATGGATTTTCTGGAGAAGACCTAGTCAAGTGGAGAGTTAGTTCCCAAAGAAAAAGGTGGAATTTGGGGGGGATTCATATTTCAGGCAGAGAGGTGTTATTCTTGGGCATAGGGAAAAGAATATGCAGGAACTGCCCTGAGGAAGGCACAATTTCCTAGTGGCTGGTGGATATTGCAGGGAGTGTTTGGGGATTATTCAGGGTTAGAATACGGTTTAGTTATGTGCCCCGCAAGGAGATTTGTGAGGTTCACCCCATCCCTCTGCATCCTCCCCAGTACAAAGGAAATTAATTTTCAGACTCTATGTGTTCAATTAGTCTTATTAATTACAAACATTTTACTACGTTTTGAGCTTAGCCAGGCACATGATCATATCCATTTTATCTGTTACTATTTTGTTAAGCCATTGCTTTTTATCTAGGCTATAAGAATAAGACAGCAAAAACTACCCTTCTATAATACAACCAAGTACAGTAGTCTCCCCTTATCTACAATTTTGTTTTCTGCAGTTTCACTTACCTGTGGTCAATTGGGGTCCAAAAATATGTCATCACTACTTGTGTGCTTTGGGGCCATGATTAAGTCAAAGAAAGGTTAATTGAACACAAGCACTGCAACAACATGATGGTCGATCTGATAACGGAGATGGCTGCTAAGTGAGTCATGGGCAGGGAGGGCAGACAGCCTGGATCTGCTTCTCCAAGATGATTCATGTCCCACATGGGATGGAGCAAGATGGCCCAAGATTTCATCACACTACTCAGAATGTGGCACAATGTAGAATTTATGAATTGTTTATTTCTGAAATTGCTGATTTACATCACAGTGCCTATAACTATGCATCGCTTTATCTCATGACATAGAGATTTTATCATTTCACATCATCACAAGGAAAAGGGTGAGTATAATACAGCACGATATTTTGAGAATAAGAAAGAGAAAGACCACATCCATAAACTTTTATTACAGTATATTATTTTCATTGTTCTATTTTATTGTTAGTTATTGTTGTTAATTTCTTATTGTGTCTAATTTATAAATTACACTTTATTATAGGTATGCTTGTATAGGAAAAAAATAGTACATATAGGGTTTGTTACTATCTGTAGTTACAGGCATCCACCAAGAGTCTTGGGATTTATATATATCTCTATATATTATACATATAACTATATATCAAACAAATAATATATAACGTATTATTATATTATATATATAATATATAATCTTGTATCTTATATACAACAATACATTATATTCAGTGTATATAATATAACATATACAACTCATATCCACCACAAAGTGAATGTCTTTAAAGTTTTCCAGCTTATGATATAGTAGTTGTCCCAACTAAAAATATAATTTAATATTTTAGTTGGTATAAAAGTAAACTAGAAGACAGAAACAAACTTAAGACTCAGAAGACAATGCAGAAGACAGAGCATGAAGAGATGGAACTTGATGAAAAAAGCTTCAGGTGTGATCACTCAGATTCTAATTTGGATACTAAAATATCAGGTAGCTTTCATCCACACCTGAAAGTCACAGAAATGCTCCAATGACATGAAGTTTTTCACATGTGCTAAAAATGCTGCCAACAAGACAAAGTGTTATTATTCTAAGTGAGAATAAAAAATGTTTAATGTATAGACAACTAGAATTATTTCTAAATTATAGGACAAAAAGTCAACTGTTCTTTTAGATAATAAATTTAAGGGAAACTTAAGCTTATTTTGTTTCTCAAGGTGAACAACTCAGAAATCTGTTACAACTCTCTCTATTTATACAGATATAGATACAGACATCTATATAACATATAGGCTAGTGGGACACGCTCATTGGTTTACATACAAACCAATGAGCATGGACACACTCAAATGCACTTTTGTGATTTTTCCATTAAAATCCTCAAACAACCATATCTTTCTCCATGTCCTGCACAGGTGATTTTGCAAACCTGGTTAAATGACACTTGTCAAGAATACAATCTGTTGGGAGAAAAACTTTATGAAAAGGCAAATGTAGTAATTAGTATCATTGCATCAGATCTACTGCAGTTCAAATAAAAGATGAAGAAATTCCTGATGAAGAACCATGTCAAAATTCTACATTTGAACTAGTTTCCAAAAGATCACATACTTTCACTCCAATTTATATGTTGTATGTTCCAATCTCATCTTTTTTCCTGCCCTGCTATTTCAGCCTGGTCCACATCTGCCATACTCACTCCTTCACATAAACAGATACATACCACTTCTTCACATTCCTTCTCTCACACACATACCCAAGCACACACACATTCCATTCATTCACACTCATACATACACAAATAGAAAAACATTATTCCACACTCACACACACATACACAGACACATGCACAGCATGCTTTCAGACATACAGATACACACATCTTTGGGACCTACTATTATATTATGCATTCCTCTAGGATTATGGCTTGGCTATCATGAATGTTTATTTTTATTTTTATTTTGTATTTATTCAGAGACAGGGTCTCACTGTCACCTAGGCTGAAGTGCACTTGTGTGATCATAGCTCACTGTGGCCTCAAACTACTGGGTTCAAACAATCTTCTTGACTCAGCCTACCAAGTGGCTGAACACTCTCACCCAGCTAAGAGTGTTTGGAATTGAAAGTGTGCAGAGCAGAGAACCATGAGACAAAAAGAGAAAAGTTAAAGAATAAAATTGACAAGAGGTGCCCATTGAATTCTCATTCCTTCCTCCATGCTTGACAATTTCACATAGGCCTGCAAAGATCAGTTCTTACGTAAGAGTGTATCAGAGAGATTCCCGCTAGAGACTCCCTTATCCCAACCTTGAAATCAGAGCAAATGCTATCTGCTAATGAAAGACACATGGAATACGGATCATGTGGAAAACAGTTTAACTTCATTCTCTTCACAAAATAGCAGATTAGAATTTTCCTAGGAAGAGTTTGTGTTTGTTTTGCTTTCTTATATTTCGTTTTCTAATTGTAGACTTAAAAAAAAAAAGAGAGAGACTAAAGGAGCTAGACGGCTAGCATGAATGTAAACTAACAACCACTTTTTGTATAGAGTAAATGGACAACATGTATTAGAAGTCTTTATAACATAAAGCCCACTGATTTAGTAATTCAGGTTTGTGAAATACAGACCAAGGAAGTTATCCTAAGTAAATAAAGTTTTGTATCTGATGCCCTTGTAGTGATCAATATTATGTTATTTACGGTGGCAAAAACTTGGATATAAGAAAATATCCAACAACAGGGAAATGATTAGTAAATAATGAAGCATCCTCAGAGTGGAATTATGAATAGCCATTACATTGCTGTCTAAATGTTTTTTTTTTTCTAGTAACAAAGAAAATGCACATAATAAAATTCAAAGTGTACGGCAAATTGAAAATCCTATATACAGACTGATCTCAATGATGAGACAAAGGCAAAATAAATAAATAAATAAAAATAAAAGATTCATGCCAAAATACCAGTGAAAGTCATGTGTGGGAAATATGATTGTGGATATTTTCTTTTATGCTTTTAAGTACTTCACAAATTTTACACAATAAAAATGAAATTTTTATAATAAAAACAAATTAAACTTCATTCTAGAAACACAATGGCATTGATTAGCTCTATTTATTCAGCTACAGTGGTTTCCATTTTCCCAGCAGTTTTATTATTTAAATTATATCATGACTAGTGTGAAACTCTTAGAAACAACACAAGTACTCTTGATATGCTGAAAACGTATTTCCTAGAAAAGCCTTGATGTTAGGAGAAAGTACATCAAATGCTGCTTAAAACTTGTAAAATCTAGAAAATAGGGGATGTTCCTATTATTGTTTGCAAGTTTTGAATATTCTGAAATATTACCAAAGTTATACCAAAAATTCTAACAGTAGAAAAAAACTATTACATTTATTTTTGTATCAAATGCACAGTATGCATATGGAATGGATTAATCACCTCTTCATTTACAAATCACTAGAGCTAACAAAATTATTTATGAATCACTAAGGCTAATAAAATTATTTTCTTTTTAGGGTGAGGTAGACAAATACTTATTAAGGGCCTACTGTTCCAGAATGTGTTAGAGCTGCTTTAAATTCAGAGGCTATAACCCAGAGGTAAAGAGCTCATCCTGTCAATTATACAAAGCTGGGTTTAGTTCTCAGCTCCAGTATTTAGTGTGACCCTGGGCAAGTAATGTATCAGGTGCCAAATTCCATTTACAAAACTGGAGGAACAATGGCAGTGATTTCATTTGAGCCAAAGACAGAAGAAGCCATTTGTGCAAAGCCTCCCCAGAAACACAGCCTGGACCCATCCCTGTGAGTCATCCAGGGAGGCTGAAGGGTAGGGTACAGGTGGGAATGGAAGAGGCAGCAGGTGACATTAGGCAGGAGGGCACTAGATTGAATGCCACTGGTTTCAATTTTATCCTGAGGGCACCAGGACATCATTGACTGGATGAAGTGAGAGAGATATGCTTTTTAAGCATTTCTGGAATTACAGTGCAGGGTGCTGAAAACTGCTCGATTAAATGGCCAAGAATACATGTATCTTGTTGTAGGTCATAACTACATAGGATGATATGTTATAAAACGTACAAAAAATCTTTAAGGCAGCCTTTTTGATCTCCTGGGTACTGGGGAAATGGGGAAGGGTCCTGTCCCTGGCTTCATGTTTTCCTGTGGATGGAAGCCCCGTGGCAAAGCTATCTAGTCTTTTCCCTCGCTCTCTTCTTCCCAGGGGTGAAACTGATTTACCTGATGAATGATGAGCCTGGCAGGAGTAATTGAGCCCACCTGGCTCAGCTGCTTCCTGGTTTTCCGGCAAAGGACTTACACTCTACTGACCTGGCAGTTCACTTAGCAGAGAAGGCCTTGTCCTCACCAGAAACTCCCTGGTTTCCAGTGCTGTCTGTCACAGAGTGGTGAGTTGAATTTGGAGAAGAGCCACTTGGCTACCAGACCTAAGGCAGCCTTCTCCCATCTAACCGGAATAAAGGTAATATTTTGACCTCCAGCTATGCACTTCCTAAGTTTGCTCAGAATTAGCCCTCCACAAACCCCCACAATGGCTCTAAGAGCAAACTCTGTATCAGGAACTTCGATTTTGAAGGTGCTTAGCACAGAATTAATATGTTTCACTAGTAGAGCATACAGCTCTTTTTTTTTTTTTGAGAAGGAGTTTTGCTCTGTTGCTCAGGCTGGAGTGCAATGGCACAATCTTGGCTCATTGCCACCTCCACCTCTCAGGTTCAAGTGATTCTCCTGCCTCAGCCTCTTGAGTAGCTGAGATTACAGGCATCTGCCATCATGCCCAGGTAATTTTTGCATTTTTATAGAGATGAGATTTCACCATGTTGGCCAGGCTAGTCTTGAACTCCTGACCTTAGGTGTTCAGCCCTCTTTGGCCTCCCAAAGTGCTGGGATTACAGGCTTTAGCCACTGTGCCCAACCAAGAACAGCATTATAATACTGGTTAGAGAAAACATAACAGCTGCCTTATATGCCAGATATATTGCAATATGGCCATATGATTCTCTTTTGAGGGATGAGATAGGATTCATTTTCCATCTAAATCCATGTAATGATGAGCTGTGAGAGTAGACGGGCCTTCTGAATATAGGAAAATACCACTGGGCAGAGCTGTCTTGTTTTTGCTTGCCATTAAAAGGCTGTCAATTTGCAACAACAGGATGGCTAAAAGGCCCCCGATGTCATCAGACATTATTCTAGCATCAGCCAAGGAATATCGGTCAATTTTGTTCATAATGACCACAGTGTTTCACTTCTCTAGAAAGATATGCTGGAGCTTATGGAATTTTTACTAATGTAATTATTCTGTTTGCTATGCATTAATGCCCAGTGGATGAACAAAAGATCAAGTTATTTTGCCAACTTCATAATCAACAGTGAAAAAGTAACCACTGTTTTGAGACTAGTACCAAAGTTGATTCAGCAAGGCATGACCTTAGTTCTTAAGGGTTTTTTTTTCTTATTATATGGCATTTCAGCCATGGAGAAACACTATGGACATCTTACAAAGTTATGCTGTAATCAACATAATAAGGAATTTTGGGGGTCATTTAGAGAATTGGGAATTACTCAAGGGAGTTTCTTCTGTAGAATTAGTTTAGTAGCATTGCAGGAATAAATGGACTGAACAAATCACTTCTAAAACAGGACACTTACACCAAATTTCCAAACTATTTTGTCACATTGAATTTCTATGGTAAACAGCAAACAACCAAACCAACCAATAAGATTTCAGTGACTGAGAAGTGTACATTTCCCAATTCTCTAACCTGACACTGGAGATTCTTTCTCTTTCCACATTAACAGGTTTTGTATTTCTAAGTGACATGATGAAGCACATTAAATTGTCATTATGCTCCTGGCTTCAATCTACCAAATTTGGGAAGAACAAATTATATTCTTTATCTGTCTTGCTTAGGGATTACTTAAAAAATCAATTGGTCCTTTATCTAGAATAACAAGAATACATATACACATAAAAAAGACACATTTTTAAAGAAACAGCCAGAAAACTTACCTTTTTTCCAAACCTTCATCAATTCTTTAATTTTTCCGTTTCAAGGCTATGACATTTCATAATAAAAACAGTCTTAAACAGCTGCGAAGAATTCGGACACCTACAATAGCATAGCACCGTGTTTCAGTAATTTAGCAAGGGCATGATTAATTCAATAATGGCACTACCAAACAAAAATGACTCTTTTATTCCAATTACTCTTTTATTCCAAATACAAATGGTTGTCTATCATCCTTATTAATTATTGTTATTATATTATAATAAGAATATTTGATGGATTGTGGATGGTTAGGAGGTGAGCTGTGTTCTTTCCCTCATTCAAATACAGATGCTTTCTTTCTTCCATGAAGGTTGTCTCTACACAATGTTTTTGGTATACCTCTTTTGCAACAAATGAATTTGCTTACAGGTAGAAAATATTGCTTTACTACTCAAAGGGTCTACAGATTTCGGACAGAGTCATGTTGCACTCCTTATATTTCTTCAAAGTTATGACCACTCTGACTTGTAATTGTGTATGTTGTGTTCCCTCTCCCTAAAACATTCTTCACTCTCTCCTCTATCTAATCTCTTTTTGTCTAGATCGCTCCTATCTCATCTGCAGGCATTAGCTCAGATATCACCTTCCTTCTTTCTACACACTGTGTTAATTTGCCCTCATACACAATCTCACAGCATCACCTGTGAAACTTACAGAGCAATTGCTGGTACTCATGTTGAGTCACTACCTTCTTTGGGAGGAGAAAGCTATTATCATAGTTACCTTAGCACCTGTATTGGGTCCTCTCAGCTTCACCTGTGTTCAGAGCCTTTGGCTACTTATCTCAGCTAGCAATGGAGAGACCACTTGTGGGAGGACTCTTCTAGGCATTGCAGAGGCACAACCTCACTTCATACCTATCCTTCACCAAGTCTTCATTACTGAGGCTGATACATATCCAAAAATGCAGGAGAATTAGCACTCTGTGTGGCCAACTTGTGTCCAATGGAAGACCCAAGCCAATGGATTAAAGTCTTCTTTCTTCTTCTAGATGTTACTATTCCTAGCCACAGCCATTTAAGGAACTTCTTGGAAAGCAGTTATGCAAGATCAGTTAATAGCTAGCTCCGTAAGAAACCCTAATATGGATTCTTCTTCTTTACCCCTATGTTTTCTTTTTCTCTCATTTTTGCTTTCCTAGGATTGTGCTTCATAAGAAAGGGGGCACATTAAGCCATTGTCTGAGGCTCTGTCTCCTGAGGAACCCAGGCTATGGCAGGCAGTAAATAGGATATAGTAGTTGTTGAATGAAGAGTTGTTAACTAAATTAATAGATACTTCTAGAATCAAAAATATCTTGTTAAATATTTGTTGGTAGTTCAGAATCTCATACAGTGAATGCAGGGGAAGAAATGACTCAGTCTGCTGGGCACAGTGGCTCATGTCTATAATCCTAACACCTAGGGAGACTGAGGCAGGCAGGTCACTTGAGCCCAGGAGTTCCAGTCCAGCCTGGGCAACACGGTGAAATCCCGTCTTTTAAAAAAAAAAGCAAAGTGTGGTGGCTGGTGCCTGTAGTCCCAGCTACTCAGGAGGCTGAGGTAGGATGATCACTTAAGTCTGGGAGGTCAAGGCTGCAATGAGCCATGATTGTGCCATGGCATTCCATCCTGTGTAAGTGATAAAGTGAGACCCTGTCTCAAAAACAAACAACAAAAAAAGCAACTAGACTTAGTCTTAGAATTATCTAACCTCGAATGTATGATTGCCAGCATGAAATTTCATGTAGGTATACTATATACCTACAGATAGTGCTTTACGCCTTGAAAATTTACAAAAGAAAAATAGTTGGTAATTCTTAACCTCATCTGATACTTTCCTTAGGAGACCCAAAGGGTTTGAAGTGCAATTTGACATAACACTTGGATATCAAACATATGATAGAGAGTAGGTTACTGGTATGAAAAGACACGGGGAGACATGAGTGTGGTTTTAGTCACTTCCTTACCCACTAACAGCATGAACCTGGTCATGTCAGCTAAATATTTTGAGATATGGTATGCTTACCTACAAAGTGAAATTTATCTTTCTCAATCTAAACGATACTGTGTCTTCATAAACTAGATCTATTACCAAAATTCCAAGTCAAGTGAGAATGTGAGAAAAACAGAATACAAATGTCTGAATTGTAAATTTCTAAGGGGACTAATCAGAGGGAAAAATAGTCACAGAACAGTACAGTTTGCCTCACTAATTTGTGGATCTTTGCCTGGAAATATCAGACAAGATAATGACACCCATTCCTTTCAGATTCAAAATTCCACAAATTGTTGGAATATTGGCAGACTGCAGAGATGTTGTGGGTTTAGTTCCAAACCACTGCCATAAAGTAAATATTATAAAAAAGCAAATCATACAAATTTTTTGGTGCATGTAAAAGTTTTGCATATAAAATTATGTTTATAGTGTACTGTAATCTAGTAAATGTGCAGTAGTATTGTTTAAAAAACATTGTGCATACCTGAATTAAAAATCCTTTATTGCAAAAAATGCTAACTATTATCTGAGCCTTCAGCAAGTTATAATCTTTTGCTAGTAGAGAGTCTTGCCTTCATGTTGATGGCTACTGACTGATCAGGGTGTAGTGGCTGAAGGTTGGGTGGTTGTGGCAGTTTCTTAAAATAAGACAACAATAAAGTTTGCTACATTGATTGACTCTGCCTTTCATGAAAGATGACTCTGTAGTGTGTAACACTGTTTCACAGCATTTTACCCAAAGCAGAATTTCTTTCAAAATTAGAGTCAGTACTTTCAAATTCTGCCATTGCTTTATCAACTACGGTTGTGTAATATTCTATATCTTCTGTTGTTATTTCAAAAATGTTCATAGCATCTTTACCATAGCAGATCTATATCAAGAAACCACATTTTTTGCTCATTCATAAGAAGTAACATCTTATCCCTTCTGTTCTATTATGAGATTGCAGCAATTCAGTCGCATCTTCATGTTCCACTTCTAATTTTACTGCACTTCCTATTGCCACCACATCTGCAGTTACTCTTTCCACTGAAGTCTTGAACCCATCAACGTCATCCATGAGGGTTGGAATCAACTTCTTGCAAACTTCTGCTAATTTTGATATTTTGACCTCTCCCCATGAATCAGTAATGTTTTTGATGGCACCTAGAATTGTTAATCCATTTCAGAAGACTTTCAAAGTACTTTGCCCATCGGATCCATCAGAGAAATCACTGTCTATGACAGCAATAACCTTACAAAATGTAATTCTTTCTTTTCTTTTCTTTTTTTCTTTTTTTTTTTTTTTTTTTTTTTTGAGATGGAGACTTGCTCTGTTGCCCAGGCTGGAGTACAGTGGAATCTTGGTCCACTGCAACCTCCTCCACCCGAGTTCAAACAATTCTCCTGTCTCAACCTCTTAAGTAGCTGGGATTAAAGGCACATGCCACTATGCCGGGCTAATTTTTG